CAAAACCCAACTCTTATGCCATTAGAAAGAGGATCATGAAAAACCTATAAAAAAATGGTTCAAGAAATTTTAGTTCGCTCATAAAGCTAAAGTCCGCTTGCTCTAGCAAAAAATGCCCACTGTGTAACAAACACCATAGCTTTCCTTCTCAAATGCTTAAACCTCATCAAATGCATCTTACAATGTATTGAAGAGATACTCTCTGGTGGAAGCGGTTGGAACAATGCTTTAAGTTTCCTCCCGAACACAGTCTTCGCAAGTTATTGGCAAGAAGTACGATCAAGATTATCTTGACAGTGACATCCATGGGAGACTTCAAAACTGTTGAGCAATCACAGTGTCTACATAGAAAGAGAAAGACTCTCACGTAATATAAGTCAATATCTCCGGCGTATCACTTCCCATCAAATCGCATAATTTATTAGTGTTCCACTGCAACGATAGACAAAATGACAAAAAAAAGTACGCGTTAGATATCGCAAGGCCAACGGGTTCCTCTTTATTGTTTAAACGTGTTTTTCTCTGACGTTTGAAAAGACGTTTTTTTGGAACTGATGCACAACTATGAAATTAACTTTTTATTGATACCATTTCACTGAAAAACTTTGCTTTCTTTCCTACGTTTAAATGTTAAAGTCTGAGTATATTAAAAATAAAGATATAAAACATTTACTTTTTTCCGTCTTTGTTGATAATGCTTGTAGAATCGCATAAATCTTTTATGTGCTTTTCGACACAAACGTTCTAGATATTTGATTGTTTCTTCCCAACACGAACCGGGTTCTTCACTACTCGCCAACGTACTATTTGATCTAGAATAACGCCGCCTTTCAAGTAGCATTCGTTCGGTTTCACGTTTTTTTGTTTCCGAAAATTGTGTAGCTATGACTACTAAACATAAATTAATCATAAAAAATGAGCCAATAACAATTAGACAAACAAAGTAAATCCAATCCCAAAATGAATGAGCATCTTGAATATAATACATAATATTAACCCATGATTCTAATGAAATTATCTGAAAGAGAACAACATATAGAATATAATAGATTTTTGAATAATTAAAGAATATAAGTAATATTAACGTACTTGAAAAATGACAACCCATGCTAATCCAATATTATCAAAACTAATTGATCCGGCAAATGGATTTTTATCAGACGTATTACAAAATCGATAATATTGATTCCAATTGATACAACCATTAGTCGGACGATGTGTGGCACTATACCCGTCATGATCTAATTCACATGTTACATTGCCTTGACGTAATTTTGGGATTTCTGAACATTTTGTCTGTATTAGAGAAGAAAAATATTTGTTTAATAAATTGTGTGTACATGCAGTAAGAAAAAAATTGAATTCTTACCATACCACTACCATTTATTCCGGAACATACAAATGAATCTTGATCGGGTGGTACATAGTAAGCTCTCAATGGGACATCGCTGATCATGCATAAAAAAAGATTTATTATAATCATTAAAGTAACCGTCTATTAACTTACACATATAGCTCATAATCTGGCAAAATCGTTGAATTGAATTGTAAAAAACATCGATTTCTTAACAATCCTTTCCATAATTGAACACCAATTATTCCAAAGATGAAGAAAACAAAAAAACATAATAATAATACATTTCCTAAAAACAAGTATGAATTGTTATTACTGAACGCGAAAGACTAATTTAGGACTTGCCTAACATGGGTAGAGTATCTAACAATAACATGACCAATATTCGCATGCTTGGTACTCGATTAATAGCTCTTAATGGTCGTAAAACACGAATTGTCCGAATTGCCGATAAACTTAAATTATCACCAGGTATTACCCATTCAATAAGTCTGAAAATAAGAACAATGTCTAAAAAAATACCTATTATGCGAATTAATTTTTTTACCCAGCAATAACAATAAAACAATCAAGACGATTCCATGTTTCAGCTAAATATGATCCTTTTCCGAATATACCCATGGCAGTCATTTTTATACACATTTCAATTGTAAAAAAGCCAAAAATAAAATAATCGGTGAATTGCAGCCATATACATCGGGGAGTATCGCCTAAATTTCGATAAATACTTAATATTATCGAATAATGATTGTTAAATAGCCTACATTTTTTGGGTGAACTTTGAACATGATGTGCACAAGGTTGATACATTCCAAGTGTTATGCAATTGAGTAAAATTACAAACATACTAATACGTTCAAACCATGTGAAAAAGAACATCAGTGTTAAGGAAGCATATAATTAGAAAGTTGATTCGTCATATGCAATACAGTCTTTCACTTTAAGGATTAAGAGTAGCGAGTTTCTCAAACGTATCCCGTAAAATCTTTGCCTAGTCAATAGCGAAATATATAGGTGAACAACTTAACGGATCTTTCAAATATCACAACTGACACTACTATGGTGTATTAAAAATACTGCGAAAAATGTGCCTGTAGAAAACATGTTCTTTTGTCAAGTTTTTGAGCACCATAAAGAATTATTAACAACATGAAAATAATTGATCCTTATCTTGATGTGACTTTGTAAAAGTTTCTTTTCATTCAAGCCTCATACTCTTGTTTTTTTAAACATCTATATACATTCCTAATGGTTTTTTCGAGAATCGTATAAAAGGATATGGCCAAGTAATCAATTTCAAACATTGATATCTCGGTGACGTTTTTTGATGTAAACAATAAAATGATTTTTCAACAAATCCAGGAAATGGTAGTTCACCGTCATCAATTTCTTCTAAATTTCGAGAACGGGGTATATCACTAATGACATTCGATGATGCATGATCTAAAAATCGATCAGTTTCATTTGGTGGTATATTAACGATAACTGTTGAATCGCCAACACCTGGATATTTAACAATTGGATTATTTTCAACTATAATATCAGATTTCGCTGTTGTTGTTGCGATCATTTGTGTTGTATTTGAAAGGCCTTTATCCATGATCTAATAACAACATGTTTATGGCCTCAAACGATACCGACTCTTAGCTAAAATAATACAAAGAGAGTTTTCACTCATAGAAAAAAAAAAAGAAGATCATACAATGAGTCGGTACGGAGGCACTGACGGAGGAATGTGGAATCAGTTTGCGTGGAACGATGGATGTTATACATTAATATCTAAAAAAATGATATGTGAGGGAATATTTATCATACTCACAAATTTTACTAAGTTATAATTCTCTCTGGCATTTATAATTCATTTATCTAAAATAAAATTATGATGGTCATTTATGTGCGTGTCCACATGGTGTTAATTGGTCAATACTAGCAGTTTGATGTTTGATAGGAAAAGAAAAAGAAAAACAAGCGAAAATCTCATGGGAAATTTATATGGTTTGAAATAGGCTGATTCTTCTGTGTAGTTTAATTACACGTGTTACTCGTCACTGTCGTTTACTATAAAATTCGCTTGGTAAAAAAAGAAAATGTATTTCATCTTAGCAACATAAAAAGACAACAACAATGATGAGAAACTCATCATCATATTCTTTGTTTGCCTATATCCTGATTTTCAACCATTTCCTTCCTTCTACATTATCGCTTTTAATCTCAACTTCCTTTCTTATTTCAATAAAATTGCATTGAGTTTATCTACTATGAGACGCTTTTTTTTCTCAACTCAGTCTCGGGAGAGGGCGAAAAATTGGTCCCGAACGAGTACGTGGTATCAATACTTATACAGTGACTAGACTGGCATGAATAAAATATATTTATCTTTCTTCTACAAAAATAATAACAAATCTTATCTTAAAATCCCGTATATTATCAAAAGTCAATATTATTTTCAAAATACTAACATACAATTATCTTAACTGACACTCAGTGATTATCTATCATCTAACCTAATCGGATAGTTTCGATGGATGTATATTGCTATGGTACACATTTCATTAACTAATATTTGGTTTTATATATGATAAATGCTACAATATTATAGTCTCAAACACTTTATTTCACTAGTTATTTATTTATGAAAATGAGCAACGTTTGACATACGCAATTTAATTTGATACATATACTACAATTACCGTAATATAAAACCTCATTATGAAGGGAAAACGAAAAAACAACCGTTATATCAATCTTTTGGTAATTTCATCCCTAAATTGACTTTTCAAAAAAGTTTTCTGCTTTTCATATCTAATTTTCTTTGAAAAAAAAAAAAAAAAAGAAAGAAAATTGTTCTATACCCCGACCATTGTAATATGTAAAGTAGGAAAATAAAAAAAAGCCCAAAGAAAGTACAAATATTCTTCTTGGAAACAGCATGATGATAAAGTGGTAGAAAAAAAACTCAAGCAAATACACAACAGGAAGGAAGAAGAAGAGAAGAAAATGACTCGGGTGTACTTGATTCCAAGTTTATAGTTAGTTTTTCAAGTGCTTATGTGTATACACAATAGACAAAATAAACTATTCCGTTTCCATTCATAATGCAGCTCATACCACGCTTGATTTTTTGTATATAACATGAAAGAATACAAGTTCATTTTCAAAGAAACGATTTTTTGCTTCCGCAATGACTTTCTTCCCATTTTTTTTTGTTATAAAGGCAAGAAAGTATTTTTCCAGGTTTTACATACGGAAATCTCCATCATTTGTCCATCTCTGTTCACACTTACTAATTCGTCTAAATTTGCAATTTGATCATGAATGAAAGTGTCCGATTTCTCTCTTGTCAGTGCCTGTAGGCGAATTATATAATCTATTTTTTTTCTTCTTCTACACACTGTGTATCTATCTATCTGTATCTATATATATATATGGATTACAGATTAATAAATAAATATTTTTTGTTATTAAATATATTACTTTATTGCTTAATTTATCAAACAAATATGAATAAAGAAGAAAGTTCAAACATCTCACACTATAATAGCGTTGGACATCAGTCAAAATTAAGAAAAAGCATAATTTTATAGATCACTATAAAGAATTATTGACAACATGAAAATAATCGATCTCTAGCTCGATATAACTTGTTAATAAAATATATGACATCTTATTAACTAAAATGTCAATTTATTAAAAGGTTGCTTCATCGCAAGAATCAAATTGGTTTCTCACGCTTACTTGTGTAAAACTATAATAATTATCTATTAAACATATGTTTTACATTTCAACTCCTACCAGTTGATAAACTAATCATAATAATCATCATCTATATGCTTGATGATTAATGGGAACAAAAATGACCAAGAGGACAACAAAAAATCATCGACTCTTGTAAACAAAATCAAAACGGTACAGTCGAGAAGATTTTCTGTGCCGGAAGAAGGATTCTAAAAAAAAAAAATATATATATAATTTCATAAAAATAATAATCTTAGAGAGTACATCTTTTTGTTTTTATCAAGCATAAATTTTTTGGAACAAAGAACGTTGTCCTCTTTAACAACAGCAACTTTGTGAAATGTATACAAATCAAATTCAAGAAAGAAAGAAAGAAAAAAAGAAAAAGAAAGAAAGGAAAAAAAAAGGAAAAAAGAACGAACAGATAGCGTGTAAAGAAAAGAGAAGAAAGAAAATTCTTATACTATGTTCTGCTGTTCAAATTAATTTTCTTTTCAACTGTAATCTGATATATGTTATTTTTAACTTAATAAGCATCTATATGTTATTTTCTTTTGACTTTTAATGATCTCCGAAACACTAATGAATTCTTTTCGTTTTTCCTCTTACCTGGAAAAAAAGACATTTAATTAATATAATTAATGGATACATTACTACAAGGCAGAAAAACACGCATAATATTTTAAACTTAAAAAGGGTAAAAAGTGTAAATTAATATTTAGATCTTTCACAATTTGGTTAAAATGAGACTATAATATAATACATTGAAGAAAGACATTATAAAATAGTTTTTCTCAATATTGACATATTCAAAATCATATTTATCAAGGTTTTATTAATCTAATATATTTTGTTCAAATTATCGGACTAGAGAATATTTTTTGTTTTCCAAAGTCGCAGAAGCAATCATTCATATATATATATCGGATATGCTTACCCTTTTCCCTTCATTACAGTGAAATAGTAAGATACAAGTATAATAGGCATTTAATTAAAAGAAAATTTGTCTGTAATATATCATAAGGATAATAAGAAAATTTCATCTTATAAAATGTAACATAATTATAAGTTAATGAAACACAAAAAATTTGTATACGTCAATGACACTCTAAAAAAATCAAACTTATCACATGTTGTAATTATCTCACTTGCTGCACAAGGCACTCGTGTTTTCTACCTTATTGTGACATGATATTTAGCTGAACTTTATATAGTATTTTCGCATGAATACATATATACAAAATAATAATTTATTTTTTGATTAGATTTTTTTATTTATCTAGATAACGACGGATTTCCTGTTTTGTGTAAATTAAAGCAAAGATCAATAATAAATTATGAAATCTATATTTAATTACATTTTTCCAGCTTTTTCTTGTTCTATGATTAATTTATAGACGCCATATTGAATAAGACAATTTTCAATATTAAATAGAAATCACTATCACCCTCTTCTCATACAAGACGTAAAGTCTAAAACTAGTTAAAAATTTCTGACAATAGAAAAAAAAAATTTTCTGTTTCTTATATCTGCTTAAATGTACATACCAAAATTAGAATATCCTGATCGCAATGCTTGTTCTTCTTTCGTCAAGTTATTTAAAATGGAAAACAACGGTAATTACGTTTACTCACTACTCCTACCTGTAGCTAAATTCATCAGAATGATTTCTAATTTTTTTTTTTTTTTTTTTTTGTTACTTGTTATCGCTGTTCAATATAACGGAATAGAGAAGAAAAAAAAACGTAGAAGAGAGAATAAAGTAGATACGTTTTTCTTTTTCTCTTCTTTATTCTATTCCAAATTTGGTGACACTCATAAGACAGTGTGTATGTCGTGTGATTTGAAATTTGTGTACTGTGTTTCCGTCAAATATAATGTTGATCGAGACTCTTCCACACGATAGATAGAGATATACAACGAACGCAAATTCGATCGTACATTTGATTACAGATTAAATGAGAGTTAGAAACATATAGTTACATGAATAATGTGCAAGATAAGAAAAAGAAAAGAAAAACCAGAAGAATGAGATTTTCCTTTAATAACTATATATTTTATAGAAAACTATTACGAACGCTCTAAAAAATATATATCTTGACGTCATTCATCTAAGGACGTCTGAGTGTAGAAATGAGGAATGAGATTAAGGACACTCTCCCTCTCTTTTTGTCTTATTTATAAAGGTGGAAGCAAAGGCTCGATTAATCCCTAATTTATATCAGAACCAGAATATCAAAAAAGTAAATCCATGTATTTTTGCCCAAAATTTTGTGACATCATCTTCCATGGATTCTCTAGAAAACTCAGATTTTCATTGAAGTACATTGCGATCCGTTCCGTCCGAAAACTTCATTCGATTGGGTTCAGAATTTTACGATAAGTACCTGGGATGATATCCCAGAACGGTAATTTTGTTTCTTCGCTTTCCTTCTCAAAATATAAAAAATATGATGAAAGCTCTAGATAAGAGATCAGCAAATGGATAACCTACCGTTTTTACTGAAATGAATTCTTTTCAAGATAATCATTTAGTTCATCAAAGAATAAAAATGCGACGTTAGAGTTCTGATTATTTTTGCATAACATACAGTATCAAAGTTCTTTATTTTGGTTTAATGGAGACACAGGCTTTATACAAATCTGAATTTCATAAAGTACAACATAGTAAACAGAAGCAATTAAGTATAGAAGAAGTAAGAATAAATAAACAAGGAGTGAAAACTAAAGATTTATATACATAAAATAACTGAATTTTCAATGTTTTATTAGGATCTATAAGAAAATGAAGAAAAGAGAGACAAGCGTTACTTTGTTGATTTGTAATAAACAAATCTACTTTATTCGATTGGATCAAAAACGTCGTTATCGTTTATTCGAGAGTATGATAGTGACTATCATGGCTAAAGAAGCATGTTGGTGATATTTATCGAAAGCACTTAAACTATTTTTCTTGGTAAAAGCAGTACCTTAACTATCGAATCATATAAGATATAAAATCGAACTTTTTATTGTTTACTATCCATGATATTCTTAATATTCGCTGGAAATTTCATTAAGATTCGACTTGATCTGACAAAAATAAATTCCTGATGGAAGAGTAGTTATGGATCATATTGAGGACTAGTAAAAATGTTTTCTTTTTTTAAGAGACATTTTAAATGAATAGTCGGTTATACTTTACAGAAAAAAACCTATAATCGTATACTATATCATAAGTTATAATCATAATATCTAATAACTTTAATACAAAGAATGGAAAAATAGAAAGAACGAGAGACTGACTAACCACCGTATAGATAATCAACTAAAAATGTAGAAAAAAAACATCTATCATTTTTTGTTCCTTTTTTTTAGAAAGAGTAGAAAACGTATTGGTGGTGTTTTCTAAATTTATTTTTTCCCGTTCTTCACTCGTTGAACAACCTACTGGTATTTGTGAACATAAAAAATAGAATTCAAAATTTACCGTATACCCTCTTTCAATCACATTCATTAATGTAAAATTCTGATCGTAACCCTAATAATTGTGTTCATGAAAAAGGAAAAGAGGAAAAAAAAAGTAATTTATTTCTCTATTTTTTGGCAAGTATTATATTTGCAAAGATAAATATGCATTTGATAGATGCCTATATACACAAAATCTATTAAACTTTGACGGTATTTTGTCTCAACAGGAAAATTAGCAGACTTTCCATTATTATTTTGTTTTGTTTTTGTTGTTGTCATAATCTTTTTTTTTCCATTCAACAGATATCTTCCGTGTGTGTGTGTATATGTGTGTATGTGTATATTCAATAACACGTCTAAAATGACAATCTTTTTCGCATATTTCTTCCATGCCGTGTTTTGTTTTGGTAACCTTGTGTCTTGACATGCATACATACACACAAATCCATAGAGAGATCGAATTTTATTTCCTGAAAATAATCACATATGTGTGTTGAAATATTCATTCATGTTTTTTTCTAAGATTTACATTTGCCTTTATAGAGTTTTTCAAAATCTTTTGCATGTGTTTCTAACAGGCATAGATCAGATGACATGTTGTTTGACATTTTGTTTTGAGACATAACAAGCAGTATTGTACGCAATCGAGTTGTTTTGATGGCACCGTATCATGATATTTATTTATGAAACATTCATCTGACAGCGATTAATTCCCTATAGAACCACCAGCACTACTAATAATAATAAAATGTTCAAAAAAAAAAAATTATAAATTCTGAAATATGGATATTTATCCGGTTTACCTAGATATATTTTTTTCCAAAACTTCTTACAGGTAAGATGATCATTTTAATACCCTATACTTTGTTCATTTTTATCAAAAAACAAGATTAGTAGCAATATGCCTTAGGTAATATTGACGACTAATAGGATAGAGATAAGATATTAAAAATAACATAATCTATTTAATCTTTCCAAATTTAATATTTTTATGAAATTGATCAATGAGCGCGTAGGAATAGACTAAGTAGCCATTTTTATTTTACATATCTATAGTGTAATATCCATTCCACTAATATAAAAAACATTGAGAGATAATTTGTTTTTGTTTTTATAGAGGCAATAATTGTATCTTCTACTCTATTTTTTCGACAATGTTATTTTCTTCTTCATATTTGGCATAACAGCGTAGAAACTAAGCAATGTTGTTTGACTATTAATCTCTTCGATGATTAAATACATGCCGAAGTAATTTATTGAATTGTATTTGGGGTGATAATGACATATTTACATAACTCCATATCAATGACAAATAATATGATTACGTTCTCTCTATGAAATATTGCAAACAATTATAGAGACCTTTTTTTTTAGACATTATTTCAGATATCTTAATTTTTTTTTGGTCGAAACAATGTCGGACGCTTCTAACATTGAATCAATAGTAAGAATAAGAATCAGTATGATACAAATAAAAAAAAAAAAATTTTTGACCCGGTCCGACCCGATGATGAAATTTTTCGGACCAATCCTGGCTCGGCCCGCCTAAACGTAGAATTTATCTGGCCCGGTCCAACCAATCCTCAAACATTTCTGGCTCGACCCAACCACTTTGTATGATTTTCTTCCTGCACCTGTAATGCTTTTGCTGGCTAAGCGGTGTAAATGTGTTTTTCAAGCAAATATTTATATTTTTATGATTTCTCGGTACTGAGTATACACATAAATTATAAATCCACCCATGCTTAAAAATTCTAAGTTCGGTCCGGCTCGACCTTACCACTCTATCAAATTTTTTGGCCCGGTCCGTGCTGATCTCTGCTTCAAACTGATACTAGAAGTTAATGATAATCGTGTATCATTCTAAAATGAGATATCGTCTTATGACGAAGCCAATGGTATCTGACTGATGAAGTAAGTACCTTTGAGATAATCTAATTTTCAATTGACTTCTATCATTCAGTAGAAAAATCTGTCCATTATTTACTATTGTTTTTTTTTTTGTCTGATGTTCTCAACAACTTTGGGTGTTGAAACGAATAACCTCCTCCATGAAATATTATAAATTACGTGATGAAAAACTAAGTAACCAATTATTCACTGAAGCACCTTTTCTTGACAAACAATAATTGTCTATATACATAAAAAAAAAGACAGTTGTGTTATTTTTTACTGTCTAATTAACGAACGCAATCGTTGACTAACAATCTCATTTAAATAATAAAATATATAAGTATTTTTAACAAATAAATTTCAGTACATTTTCTGTTCGAAAAACTTCTAAAATACTCTTATTTTTCCAGTTTTGTCTTATAATGACATCATGTCTGAGGAATTCAGCTCTGCTTATTTACTTACCATTTTTGTACGAGTATAAAACATTAATTAGTTCTGCTACTTTATTATTTTTCTCATATCCGCACACGAACAATAATTTAATCAAGATTTTTTAATTATCAAGAAAAACTTGAAAGTTTACACATACGTACAGACAAGGAAATGAGCGAACAAAGAAAAACACATTCTCTATGGATATCAAGCAGTGTACAAGGAAAATTTTAAAAAAACACATAGCAGAACATTTTTTTTTATACATAGACAAAAAAACAAAAAAACGTTTGATTCTACTTTTAGCTCCATAACAAACAAAAAAAATGACTACTCTAAGAACACAAATATTTTTGAATAAAAGAGTACAACTGAAAAAGAGAAAACAAAATTAAGACAAATGCGCAGATTGATTTTCATAGGAGAAAAACAGCAACAACAAAAAATGTATATTGTCAAGTTTTTATATACACGTAATGTGGTTAATATAACGCTCGCAACACATTCTCAAATATCTGTAAACAATGAACATCAGAGAGTTGTATTTACAATTAGGTTATCGCATCCTCTCACAGAATCACAATCAACCAACAAATGGAATTGACTAAAGATTGTACTCAAACGGAAGTGGTAGACGACAATACTAAAAAACAAGAAAACAAGATACATATTACATAATTCTATCTAGAATACAAAAGCAAAAAAAAAATAATGAGCAGCTTGTATGTAAAATGTTTCTGATTAATCCATGACAAATTCGACCTTTTTTTCCCAAAAACTTATCACATCTTGTGGATATGCCTAAGATAGACGAAGAAAGAACAAGTAGATTAAATAGAATAATCAAAGATTAAAAATAATACTTACTTTATTTAAAATACTTGAAAATATCCATCGTGGTTTTGTGATATTTTCCAGTTTAACGAGAAATTGTATATCATCAACTTGATTTTGACGTCGAACACGGATTATTTTCTCTAATTTTTGTTTTCCACTACTAAACGGATCATTATGAACATCATTTCTTTTCTCATCATTATCGTCATTGTCACCTGGTCTAACAGAGCTCGATTGCGACGGTGAAATTCTAAAATATTAACGAATAGCGATGATAATAAAAAACTACTTTCAATTAATACCAATAAATACTCACCGAACAATCAAAACAGAATCATCTTCACCATCATCATCATCATCATCATTATTACGGACTTTTTTTTCTGCTTTCTTCCGTGAACCCGAAGTTTTTTTTGACCTTCTAATTTGAAATTCTTCAGCCATATCATCTTCTTCAGAACTTACAAAATTTTGCAAAATTTTTGAATTCGTTTCTTTAACACTTTTACGACCTATGAATATAAGAGCTACAGGTATACTGTTTCCGCTCTCAGTATTAGCCAAAATTTTACGTCACCAGCAGGGGGATTTTCTGATCCTAGCAGAAAATTCTGATTTTTGAGCATTTTTCCGATTTAAATATCTGTCGGTCTTTAAACTGAACTAAAAGACGACTCATAATGTATACATTGTACCACATTTTTATTCGATCGGTAGGCAAAACATATCTAATGATTCTACTTAAGTTTTGTTTATACAGGACTTCTTCACATAACAGTTCATTGTTACGTGAGTCGATTATGTTCTGTAAACATCATAACTCTTCATCAGAGTAACCTACATAATTGGGGAGCGTTTTATTTTGCAGTTCAATTACTTTTCTTTAAAATAATGTAAGCAAACGCTAACAACTATATTATTGTAAAAAAGATTCTTCTTGAAAAGATGCATTTTGTATTAAAAAAAAACTGCTTTGTTTCTACGAATCATATCGCTACATGTTTGTTGTATGATTACGATTTTGAAGAGAAATACTCAGACTTCAAAAAAAGACGTTCCCGACTCTGGAGGTTACTCGAAAAACTTGTGACTTTTACAAAATTCTACTGACCTTTTATGTAAAAATGCAAAAAAGTAATTTGCTAGAAAAACTAGGCATCTGGATTTAAAAAAGGCATAAGTGACCATTTTGGTAGATAAAACGTGCTCTAATTTTTTTCATTTTTTTTCACCTTTCAAATCTGGTATCCCTGATCGACAGTAAAAAGATAAAGACAGCCTCAGCCAAGCTTGATCTTGAAACAACTCAAAATACGTTAGGTGTGAGTAAAAATAAGGTGTTAGTCCTACCAGAATGTCGACGGTTTTGAATCGATTCATCGTCTGTTTGAACAGAATGTTTCGTACGTTTACTTTTTCGACTAGTGCCCTTCGACTCTGTTTCTTTTTCATCATCTTCATCATCAAAATCATGATATTCGTCGTTGGAACTAGAGGTAGATCTCGTTCGTTTTTTTGTCGATTTTTTTGAAGTTGTCGATACAATTGATGATTCAGTTGGTTTATTATTTTTATTAGCAATACTATCTTCATATTCTTTAATCAGTTCTGGACAATTTAGATTTTTTTCTGATTCCCAGGTGCTTTTAGATAGTGGATAATCTTTCCATTTTAATTTATATTTGGTTATTCCATTTTCAATTTTTTTATCTAATACTTTTTCCACTACATATTCTTCTTCGTCTGAGTCACTATTATCATCGTCATCATCACGATACGATGTCGATTTTACCATTTTTGCTGTTCTGATTGTTTAAATTTTAGTAATTGTTGTTGATCTAATCGTAATACAATAGAATGACAATACAATATGCGATCTTAAAACATAAAAATAGTAGGATTAATTAATCAAAACAATTTTTAGACATTTTAAACAAGGAGTAATCCAAAGAGCTAGATAAGGTTAAAGATGGACTATTTACTGGAATTCTATTGGTCGGCTAAAGAATATAAGCTATTTGAAATTCACCATCTATTTGCTCTTCATTCTTACTGATAGAAAGAACGTGAACAGAACGGTAACAGGATGAAATATCAGGTAAGTGGCCGCTTTTGAGTTGCAAAACGACTACATTTTAAAAAGCAATGATCTTCTTTGTCCAGTTAGCTACATATAATTTCAAACGAAGAGACGGTTTTTAGAACGATTATGCATTTGTAGGTAGATTTGTGCATCAAAGCCTCTCATGGTAGCCAAACCACTTCAGTTTACTATATCACAGTAAAGTACTGATCGATTTTTAAAAATTTTACGAACATTTGAAAGTTAAAACTTGTAAGTACGGCATACTGCGTCGTTGTAAAAACAACTAGCGGTACCAACCTATTGTATGAATAAATTCAACGTTCTTAGTTTAAGGGGGGGGGTCCTAAACATACCCTCAAACTTTTCCAGTTTGTAGAGGATACCTTCGGTGGTATGCCTATGCAATAAAAAACTCGTTGATCAAATATTGACAGTTATTAATTAATTAAGTTCAAAATTAATTGAAGTTTTTGGTGTGACAGGCATCTTTTAAAACCTTTCTAGTTTTCGATATAAATGTTACCTTCAATTGACTGGGATGTAGTTTTATAGAGAATTGTTTGTAGATATAATTCCATACAAAAAAAGTTGAAAAACGATATCTCTGACCGTTTTTTAATTACTAATTAGTTCTGGTTAGCACTACTTAGTGGCACTCCAGTAGACAAAATAATTTTCCTAATGTCAGAACAAATGGAAGCAAATCATGCGATATAGCATTCGACAGAACTTTTCGAGCTCTATCGATGGTTCGAGCCACTTTTTTAAATTTTTGCCTTATTTGTCTGAAAAATCAGTTTTAAATCATTTTTGGAGTAAAAAAACTGACTAATTCTTAATTTTCTCAACCAGAACACAAGTTCTATGTAATAAAAATACCATATTCGGAATCAGTACCGAAAACTGAGTCGATTGATGTGTATCTCTATCATATGCGAGCACTTTTATGTTTTTCGAATTTTCACGTTGAAAAAATCATAGAGATTTTCACCAAAAGATGAAAATGAATCAAAAATTTCGAAATACACATCAGTCGACTCAGTTTTCGATCCTGATTCTGAATATGGTATTTTTATTACATAGAACTTGAGTTCTGGTTGAGAAAATTAAGAATTAGTCAATTTTCTCAGCAACGGAAAAAGATAATTGAGACGACTTTTATTGTAGAATGAAGTAAAAAGAATGCTCTTCTTTGGATCTTCATTATATATATTGATTGGTTTGCACGATACACAGTTGTCTTTTCATCTCTTCTGCTCGTGTTTGCGACATTTTTTTATGCTAATCTTATTAAATCCAGTTTCCTATACTCAGTTTAACATGGAGAATCAGAATAAAGTGGTTTTGAAAATTAAACAATAAAGATAGAAATTTTGACAGTTTCTAAAAGTTTCATTAAATTTTACCTAGTTTGAAAGATTCAGTAATTGAAAATTTTGTATATGAATATCATTTTCGAAACCTTAAAAATGACATTTTTCTATGTAACTCGACCAGTTCTATCAAATCACGACAAAAAAGGCAGCGTTTTTCTCTGCTTGATTTTCGAAGTGCCGGCATCTTACTCTTCGAGTAAACAAAAATGTTTTAGACAAACAGACATTCACTATTTATAAAATACACATATAAATATATAATAGTTAAAGTTCGGATAATTTAGAGCAATCTAATAACGTCAATTATTTATTTTCTTATACCTTGATATTTTGGCGTCGATGTGTAGTGTGCATAGCTATTCCACAGACATGCACTGAACAATCAAAATTAAATTTTTTTACATCTGATTGATCTTTAGTGAAAAATACGATTTGCATGGTAGATAAACTATCAATGAAATAAAGAAAATATTGTGTTATTGTGTTTCTAATGAATCAATCTGTTTGTGCTATTGAATGTCAACGCAAACAAAATTTATCATTTCAAGAAAATATTATTTTGCAAAAATAAAATTATAAAAGAAAAAAACACATTCGTATTTCTATTATCCAAGATTAATGAGTATATGAAAAAGATTAGTTTATTTCAAATTTATTTTGTCAGTAAAAAGAATTGAAACCATAAATAAGATAAATAAATATTTACGTGTACTATTTGCAGGTTATAAATCCATTTTTTTCTATTTTTACAATAATTGATTCAATTTAGTTGAAATAACATTAAAAAATAAGTTAACAAAGAGGAATAACATATTACTATATAAAAAACTCCGTGATTATTCACATAACTCTTCAATAGAAATTTTATCCGATTATAGTTGTGTCAGAGCGTGCTCCATAACTGTATTTTCTTTTATTAAAAAGGAAAGACAAGATTCACAACGCGTAGGACGAGATTATATGTGAAGGGTTCACGACAAGAGTATCATTCAGCAGGAAATAGACTATTAATTTAGTTAATTACACATATTTTACCTGTTAATTCATAAGCAATAGAAGAAAAAGTCCAAGTCTATTATATCTTTTATTGATCCATTCAAACTTTTGTTCCGCTGTTTGAAGAAACTGTACGAACTCATCTCAGCATGTTTTTAATTATTAGACATATTTTAATTAGAGGGAATGAATGAAACAGAGATTAGATAATGATCACCGTTCAATATAAAAACGAATTCATAGAGATAAATAATGGAAAAGCTATCGCATCATTTTATATTCACTTTTCTTTTAATTCTTCTTGTTTCTCATTTTCTAACTCTTCATTTAATTTTGCTCGTAAATTATCGGCAAAACTTTGTATATATGACTGATTTTTTTGCGTAAATAATGCTTGTAATGATTCATAATAAGTTGGTGATGGACATTTATTATCATCGAAATTTTTTCCCACAACTCGATAACCATGTTTCGATAATTCAAGACAATATTCTTTATTGTCCGTTGAACGTATATTTAAATAGACTGTAGACGATTGATTATAATCATTCAATTTTGTCGATAATGACGAACTTTGAACACATGAGCCAATATCGCCAATAGCTAATTTTGCTTCTTCAATAAAATTAGTATTACCCATGTGCGTAAGCAAATCGTTTGAGGTACTTTTAAATGTATTTTGATAATAATCACCTGAGTCAAATGGAGTTTCATTAGATGAATTAAACATATTTCAACTGAGAAATCTGTAAGAGAAGTTTAACAAGGAGAATAAATGACAAAAAGTCTTTCGCGCAACGTTCGATGTTGCTAAGAGAAATTATCAATTAATTGAATTTTTGATTACTTTCTGTTTCGAATACGAAAAAGAAAAATTGACTTTTGTCTGTTTGTTTTTACTCTAGCGTTTTTCATCAAATGAACTTAAAATAACTAATCGCATTTCCTATGTGATCGTACCAGTGAGAACAAAAGAAAATGATATGGCCCCGAAAACAGCACCACTGTCGACTAAAAACAAAGTGAAAGAGAATAGAATACGAAACAGTAGTGGTGAATCTAAAAAGGTCGGTTATGTAAAAGATTTTCAAATAATCTCTTGAAATTATAGTAGTCGGTTGTCCATTTCTTTCTTTAAAACTGAGTAAATTGTCTATTTGAAAGCTATAAAATGAGAAAGAGGCCTCAAAAGGCGATTCTTTCTTTGATCTAGATGAATACTAAACGATCAAAGCAAAACTTAAAATCTTGCGCAACAAAACGTCCACGTATAAATAAGATTACACCAACTGACACAATACCAATAGTACGAACAAACAAACATCGTTGTTATGTTTTCTGTCCAGTTGAACATACGTCGCTAACATGTGTACCTGGCATAGGACAAAAGAATAAAAAGCTCTTGCACAAAGCAAATATACCTGATTTGTCAACCTTATATGAACGCTGGGAAATAATGAATAATCCGAGACAATTCCAAAATTGGTTAGTAAATGATGTAGGTTTTACGAACTATCAAGCCAGTATGACCTCTTGTGGTATTGGATCGAAGTTAGGGACAATAGAAACACTCAGCACAGGTAGCTTTTTTAACTATATAATAAATAATCATAAATAAATAAACAAAAAGTTTATTTATATTATAGAGTTATCGCCAATTTGTTGTGCAGAATATACGTGGCCCGTTCGAGGTAGCAATAAACGAAAGAGAAGTAGCACAGAGGAGGATACTGAAAAGTTGTCGACAAGCAAACGAAACGTACAATCAGATGGTGAAGTTAAATTCATAACAACTTCTAAAATTAAATCAAAACCAATGAGATCAGACACTCAAAAAGAATTATTTAAGTTAGAGCTGAACAATTTGCCAAACAGCCTTCCTTCAGGTTTACAAAGTGTAAAAGAAAAGCAAAACTCGACGGAAGTTCAAAAGAAAACAACTATAAAACTAACGGATCTTGGTTCTAAACCTCTAAATAAATCAGAAATGTCATCGCCGAGTAAACTGGAGTTGAATATCGTTGGATTGAAATCAGACGAGATCGAACAAACAGTGGCTCTCAAGGGTAATAAATTTGATTTGTTGAGTACTAAAAGCAAACCAAGCGACGATACAACTTCCAAAATACCAATTGATAAAGTATTGTCTTTAGCAATAAAAGTAACAACAAACAATGAATATCTAAAATCAACCGAGCAGAATTTACCGAAAAGGTGTGATTCTAAAACTAACATTTTGTCACAGAACACGTCTGAACATGAAGATTTGAAGATAAGTAATCGATCTCATTCATCAGATGAATTAGATTCAACCACTGTTTCCATCAAATCGCATCAAGATAAGAGAATGCCACAAAATCTTGTTGAATCAGATCCGAAAAGTAACGAACAAACTAAAAAAGAGTTATCGGAGTCGAACATGAAAGAAAATCTTAAGTCTATCAAAAATTTAAGCCTAACAAGTGCACTTGCCACGATGAAAGCAAAAGACAATAATTTTTCAACAAAAGATTCATCGAGTCCAGTTAACACACCAAAAACTTTACAAACGAAAAATTTAAATTCAAAAGTTTCCTTGATAGACTCTAATGGTACCAGTATAATATCCAAGGATATAACAGAATCAATTATTTCAAATCTCAAAGGTAACCTAAGTAAAACTATAAATCAGCTGATGAATGATAAAACACTTTCAAGACCTGGACAAGACGTAATTAGTAGTAAAATTCCAATCTCTATAAAAAGTGAATCAGTTAAATCTTTTATTAAACCTAATAGCTGTATAAAGGAAAAAATGGAACCGATAAATATCATCAAAATAATAGATAATCAACAATTAAAATCTGAAACGAAAAGCGCTGCCGACATTAAAGTCATGAAATCTTCATCGTCAACTAATGGTTCGAACGAAACGAGACAAAAATTGAAAACAAATCTTAGTAGTTGGAGACAAGATAAAGAGATCGGTAAACTTATTAATTCTGTTCTGAATCGAAAACAAATTCTCTGAGTTACTGTGCAAAATTAGGTCGATAATGGTGCTTTTTTTTGCACCTTCTACACGGTTAATTAGGAGTGAAAAAATCAATTTTACATGTACTATCACGTGTAAAAGGTGACATATTCTGTAATCCACTATGTTTTATTTCTCTTCCAACACCATCTATAGATTTGCATACTTCATCTAATGAAATTGCATCAATCGAACCTGATAGACGAGTTGGAACATTGCGACAAGAAAATCAGTTGCAGGAATTGCAAAATTGACAAATTTCTTACAGTATCCAGTTCATCACAACAATCGGATGAAAATGCACTAAACTACAAAAATGATCCCGGTATTTCTCGACATATAAATTTCGGCATAAGCACATCTAAATAAAATCCGTAGCTTACCAAACAGATATCGGCTTTGGCATTTGTTCTATTAGGAACAAATGTCCAAACCGATATCTGTTTTTAATCTACGGATTTTTTTTTAGAGAATACAGCAGTGGCTGAACAGCAGCTATCACCAACCGAATTACAATCAACAGAAGATAATTCCGTACGAAAGTTATCGGATGAAAAACAACTTGATAAAACACCAAAAGCTGAAAATGATGAATCGAAGGGCAGACAATTGAAGGGCACGCCGACACTAGACCATAGAAAAAGCATTTCGTCTCTTAAACGTTCTATTTTATCGTCGCCAAAATCAACACCAGCCGTTTTTCCCTCCAAACCATTAAGATTTGGAGCAACAACACCAAAACTCGATGAAAGATCGAGTGTATTATCTAAAACATTCGCTGGTCTTTCTTCAACAACCGGAACAGTTGAAGAAGTAGCTTCATCACAGAACGATCGGGTACAATTAAAAACAAATCATATTCTACCTCAATATAGCGGGTGTATAGAATCTGACGGAGTTGTTTTCAAAGGCTACGCTATGCTCTATTTTTATTATTTATTCAGAAGTTTTTGAAATAATGCAAAAATATATAATAGTTTCTATCTTTCTAGTTTCTGTCTCTACAAGAAGGGTCAAGATCATCCAAAAATCTAGTTAAAACATCGAAAGAATCAATTGAGTCTGGCGTAGCAGTACAACGCACAACCGAGATTATACCTTCAAAAATTCCTCTTGATGATCAACCAAATTTGTTGAAGCAACTACCAACACAATCCGACATAAAGTCATCACCTGAGAATAATATTCGAGCAGCGTACACCCAAATATTAGATATCAAACCAAACAAATCTGGAACAGAAACAGGTGAGCAAACAAGAAGTGATAGTCGACCGAAAATTCAAGATTCCCTAACAAGATCGCAAAAGTCTATCATACCAGATTCAATATCTCAGAAGCAAAGTTTTTCTCTTTCGATTTTTAAAGTACCAATTATTACTGCGTGTCTTTTAGAACCGCCATCAAATACTATGAATCAAATGGAAAAATGGACACAGCCAGATGTAAAATCTGAGAAAGACGTGACACAAGAATTTTTCCCAGAAATGTCTGCCACTGTACAACACGTCGATTCTAACAAAGATAAAATTCACAGTGATTCAATGAGTATATCTGCAAGTACATTAGAATTACGCACACAAATAGTCAAAGAAGAAGTGAATGAAATTCTCACAGCTGCAGCTGAAGTCATTCAACAAACATTACGAGATACATCTATATTGATCAATGATGCCCAGTTCAAAAATCTTTTTCAGTCACCATCTAATGGGATGAATAACAAATCGGAAGATAATAAGTCAAAAATACCCCCATCTACTCAACTTGACACCGTTGTAGAGTCACCGATAACATCGCAACAGCAACAACAAAACTTAGCACCTGTTAAGAAAAAAATTCTATCACCAAAGCCAAAATGTATACCTCTCGCTGAACGGCTAGCCCAAGTTCGAACATTGAAAGCGCAGCGTGAGCGTATTGGAACAACAACTGAAAGTAGTCGTACTATAACACAGTCATCAAGAACCCATATCCCTCTTATTAATAGTATGACATTTCCAGTTTCACATAAGCCAAACGAAGCATCGAGTCAACAAATACCTAAATCTTTGAATAAACCATCGAATGACTGTAGTTCAGAAAAACTGAGTGAGTCCTACATCGTACAATCGAATACCTTACAACATGAAATAAAAGCTATATTAAATCGAACGAAAAGCAGTGCAAACTTACAAACTAATCAAGAATTGACAAACTATACATCAAATAAGCATGTAGATATTCAATCTGAAACAAAATTTCGATCACAATCACCTAAAAATGAAGAAAATACACCATTAACAAAAACGGCTATCAAAGAAATATATCCATCAATAGAACAAGAAACACTATCTTTTGAAGGCGATAAATCAAGCAAAAAGTCTTTACCTTTAAGACGAGTAGTAGAAAATTCTCAAATAGCCAAGCCACAAGAAGATGGAAAAACTGCCTGTCAACAGGACACAAAACGAAAAATCGAGATTCAGGACACCGCGGCTCTCATATCCCGATTAGAAAAAAATGCTGTTGATGCTTCAATCTTAAAAAAACGCCCACAAGAAACTAGTAAGTTATTCAATTATTTTTTCGACTACAAATTGTTAGTATGGCACCATTATCAGTGTTTGTTCAGCACAACTTCTTACATGACTTCAGTTGCTCTACCCATTCTTAACAAATTCAGCTTATTTTTAAATATTTTAGTCACACGTTCGACAGAAAGCGCAACTCAGACTGCTTCACAATTTTCACCGGATAAGTCATTACTAGATAAAACTTTCCCCTCTGATTCACAGAAAATTCACAAAAATGCTATAGACAAACCGACGAAGTTGATAAATGAAAATAAATCAGTCCCAAGTGAAAAAATTTCGTTAAAAGACGCACTAGACGTCACTAATTTAAAAAGCCAGAAAGAAGTTGAACTGATTGAAGATGACATTAATGTCAAAGAAATGTTCTCAAAAGCTCACCAGTCATTAGATTTATATCAAAATTCGAGTAATATATCTTATTTGAAAATGAAAGTTTTTAAAACGTCAATAGCATCTGATATTCGTTCTTTCACATCAGCAGTCAAGAACCAAGCAAAACAGCCGATTGCGGCATGGAAACATAATTTAAAGACCATTGAACCAACATTAAATGAACAACTAGAGAAAAATCAAATAGGTCTTGATGGTCGCAAATTTCTATCAACCGCCACTAATGCGTTGGACGATCAGAAAATTCAACAACAAATAACTAATTCGTCATTAGCTGACCTGAAACATTTTGTACCACAGCCACGTATGGGCTCAAATGAACCAATACCATCGCCTTATTTGTTAATATTAATGCCAATTAAAGCTCAAACAATTCCAAAACCGAGTGTATTTTCACAAGATATGCCTACTTCCGAATCGTTGGTAACAAAAATGGAAATTTCTGAGGTTTCAAAACATAATGATTCAGGAAAGAAAAGGACAGATGATGAAATAGTCGTACAAGACGGGGAACAAAGTCTGAGAAGATTGGGTGCTTCCGTACCACTATGCAATGTGATAACAAAAGAAAATTCAAATGATGTCTTGATAGATTTTAGCGGACGAATATCATTCAAACAAAAATGTTTCATCAGTATTTTAGGCAACGAACGAAAAAATGATACTAACGTGGATGGAACAAATACTTTATATTCTAGTTATTCGACTACGAACAAAGGTAATTCAACTTTTATTTAAGAAAAAGTTTTAATTACGTGATTTTTTGTCATAAATAAGAATACCGTCGTCTACGTGCTACTGGCCCTTTGCAAACCCAGTGTCTGCAACTAGTTTTGTTGATAAAAAAATAGACTGAGAGCTGTGCTTCTATCATTCTATAGACAATATTTTACAACATCTTCATACAGAAAAAATGTAAAGTAAGTTTCTCGGAAAATCGGTGTTTGCTTTAAATCTTCGAAGAGAAAGAGTTTCATTTTTATGTGGATGAACAGTTGCACTCATAATGACTTCTTCAAAATAACAAAAACTCTTTTCTGCAAAAAGATCTCGAAAGTCTTGATTATTGAATCGCCAATACCGAAGCTCTCTAACTATTGTTGTTATTAAAAGTTACTCAAAAATTAATCGCGATCACTCATTTTGTGAACAGACTGTAGCTCAAAATATCTGTTTTTTTATTGGTCCTTAACTAATTTTAATTTTAATGTCCTTAAGTAAAAATAGGAGAATCGCTCAATAAGATTACTTTTTCTAGATTAAGATTTTTAAGTTTGATCTTTATTGATAAAGTGGTTCACAAAACTATTTATCATTGTAACTCGCATTTGAGCTTGAAATATTGTGTGCATATGACTTAGATGCTATAGTGATTGTCTAACAAGTTTCAATCTCTTTGCTTGATGGTTTGTAAGATATGAGTATTTTAATTTTTTCCAGAGGATTGAGTTGGTTGTTAGTTATTATTGAAATATAGCTATTTTACGATAATGGGTCACTTCTTCTATGGGAAAAAGTCCGTACATCAGCCTTTTGGCTTCGGACTTTGTAGTGTCTGTAGATTCTTCACGCATAGGAGTTAATATCAACCGCTATATAATTCCGGAAATCTAGTGAGAATAGGCAGACGCTATAATGAAATACACTTAGGAAGATAAACTGAAGAAACTAAGTGTCACCCATTCTAGCATAATATGTACATTAACTGTATATCATAATTATGCTAAAATATAAGCAGGGGGATCCATGGCGACAAAAAAATAGATGAAACATTGTCAAGAACATTTGGTACTTTTGGTCCGCTCTAACTGTTGATGGCTTTGATCTGCAACAAAAGTTTTTTAACGATATTCATGTTGATATTTGTATTTTTATGCATAGAACCATATAATAGAGACATTTTTCAATAAACCATGAAAATTTCAAATGTGGCTTTTACTTTTAGGAAGAGTTCACGAACTTTTAGTAAAAAGGATTTTTCATCTTTCTTGTATCAGAAATTATCATTTTACCAAAAAAAATTAAAATCCTCATATCTTACAACCCATCAATCAACGAGATTGAAACTTGTTAGGTGATCACTATATCGTTAAAAGCCCATTGAACGTAAACACTAGCATAAGACATCTTCATAATTGTCTTAAGTTAATGCTGTAAAACAACATGCTAAAACAAAATAGATATTGACTTGAATATGTGCTTAAGTTCATGAACTTAAGAATATCGATAGAATGATCTTTAGTTGTATTTATAGGTTGATCTTATTTTAGCCGTATGGTGCGAGAGTGGTAATTTACTTGATAAAACGTCAGTGCATCCGCAATATGTTAAAGTGCAAAAGTTACTTATACCTCAAGTTGAATTTCATGAATCAGAAGAACAAATTAGTAATAGAGATACGAATAATTCGATATTAGAAACAAAATTCTTTGTCTCAGAAAGTGATAATAAATAACCGATCACAAAAGCCACAGAAGCGATCTGAAAATGCGAAGCAGAAAGAAAAATCCCAACATCAAGATCATTTGATTAGATGCGGTATGACTGTGTCTCTGTTGAGTATTTTCAAACGTTATTTTGATAAAAATCAAACGAATAATGAAGAGATCGATTTATCATAATTTGACGATCAACTATCCAAACCAGACATAAATATTGACATCCATCTCTAAACATTAGATTATAACTAACTAACAATGATACTGTAAATGACTAGTCGTTGGCCTAAATTTGATTCTAAACTACGAAAACGATATGTTTTAGTTTTATAAATTATAACAGTTTGTTGTTTTAACTGACACAGAATTATAACCACAATTCAGTTTAACTTGTTTATTAGGAATGTCGGAATATTCTAGCAAAGGTGTACATTGGACAAAAAACTCACTCTGATTACATGTTATGGATGAATTTGAGCTTTTTTTTCCAAAAATTTTTATATAAATCGAAAAGATTTTTAACCTCTACTTTTTGTCCAATTCACTATAATAAAAAAGATACATAAAAAATGATATACATAGTGGAAAAAAAGTTTTTCGATTCGTCGATTAGATCAAGATATAATTGTATTCAAAATAAATGGAAGCGAATAGAAAATGTATTATCAACTGTCAGAGATAAATAAAATAGGCTAAAAGTAAAACTTATTCACTAGTTTATGTTGTTCATAAAACTCTGTTTTTAAAAATTGATTATATCGAAGTTTTGAAATATTTATCCGATAAAAGAAAAAATAGTACTATAGAAGACATATACATTAAAAAGCCGCTACCAAAAACAAACACATCTCACTATGGAGCGTTTGATATTCAATTTTTTTACTCTAATAATGTTGAAAAGGGGCTCGCGCATCTGATTGAATCACCTAACACAACCATATCATCCACTATGAAAGCAGCAGTTTTACAATCAAGAATTGTATTCGAATACAATACGCTCATGTTCCTCTGAAAATACTCAATACGCTCCCGTGTCTAACAAATGTCGATATATTTTTTACAAAAAAAGTGCTACATCAAAACTTATTCAGTGAGCAACTAGTTTTTTTATATAGGTGATTTTATTTTACTTTGTATTGCTCAAACTATGGCACTAATAGATGACGGTCTCACGCAACCATGCGACGCTGCCTCAGCACTTCTGTTATCAGGAGAAAAAGATGCAGTCAAAAAGACATACCAGGGGGTCGTATCACGAAAAAACTTAAGTCTGACTTAAGTCAAAATTTGGACTTAAGTCAGGACTTAAGTCTTCGTTTAACTTAAGTCACTGACTTAAGTCTTTGAACTTAAGTTTTACCGTATCACAAAGAAACTTAAGTCGGTCGATGACTTAAGTTCTGACTTAACTTTAAGCCTAGGGGGAGGTAGACTTAAGTCGACCTTCTTATAAAGATCTTTTGCAAATAAGCGTGTAAATAAATAAA